TAACAGATTACATGTACTGGAGTTATGTAATCAGAGTACAAATTATGAGTAACTGTATTCAGTTACAGTTACTGTTTCAGTGAGTGGTAATTGGATTACAGTTACTTTGTTGAAATAAATGGATTACATGGCGGTATTTTCCTGTTTTCACATTTGGGGCTAAATCCCTTTTTTTTTTCTCTGTAATTCCACTCATTGCCGGACACTAAACCAGGTCTAAACCAGGTCTAAACCAGGACTAAACAAGGACTAAAACTAGGACTAAACAAGGACTAAACCAGGTCTAAACCAGGACTAAACAAGGACTAAAACCAGGACTAAGACAGGACTAAACGAGGACTAAACCAGGACTAAACCAGGACTAAACCAGGTCTAAACCAGGTCTAAAACCAGGTCTAAACTAAGTCTAAACCAGGACTAAAACCAGGACTAAAACCAGGACTAAACCAGGTCTAAACCAGGATTTAACAGGACTAAACCATGCTGCGTGGACCGTGTCTCCTCTTCCTCTATCAATAATATTTTTAAAGACTCTGTCTTTTCATTTTCTTTTAGCAGACAAAACATCTTATGTGAAGATTTCGTAGTCTTTGTTTCTCTACAACAAATCAAGTAATCCAAAGTATTCAGATTACATTACTCACCTTAAGTAATTTAATGGATTCCATTACAAACTACATTATTGGTATGTAATCTATAATCTGTAGGGGATTACATTTGAAAAGTCACCTTCCCAACACTGCCAATATGTGTGTTTTTGTGTTCAGTGTAGTTCACAGCTTAAAAAGTTACTAAACAACAAAGTCTGATAAAAGATTATTTCTCTATTCCAACCATCACAATTAATCAAACTTGCTCAGAACCTTAATTATGTTTAAAGTAGTAGTTGAAAGAGGAGGAGGCTAGTTGTAGTAGTAGTAGTAGTAGTCATAGTATTAGTAGTAGTGGTAGTAGTAGTAATGATAGTAGTTGTAGTAGTAGCAGTAGTAACAGGCAGAGGTAGCACCAAGTCGTAGTTTTGCAAGTCTCAAGTAAGTCTCAATTCTTTGACCTCAAGTCCGAATCAAGTCCCAAGTCAAATACAGACAAGTCCAAGTGGATTCTCGAGTCACCGGCCCATAAGTCCCAGTCAAGTCCAAGTGAAGCCCAAGTCAAGTCCAAGTCAAGTCAAGTCGAGTCATCTGGTTTGAGCTTTAAGTCATTTCAAGTCTTTAAACCAGGGGTCTCCAACCTTTTTCCTCTGGTGAGCTGCCTTTACAAAATGAAAATGCTAGAGAGCTACTAGTTTTAGCGGTCACAAGAAACTGAGTGTATATAAGAGCCGCAACGAGTTTACATGAGGTACAGTTAGACGCCTATAAAATATAAACCTTTGTCCAATTATTAGTGCACAAAGTTAAGCATCAAAATTATACATTTACAATAGACATTTAATTCATCAAATTTGAGTTATTCAGCACAATAAGTATAATTCAGAAATCTCTTTGGTGAGCTACTTGGAGGAGGGTGGAAAGCGACTGTAGCTCTCGAAGTACAAATTGGAGACTCCTGCTTTTAACCAAAGTACCAAATATAGCTTAGATTTTTGCAATTTATATGACTTTTAAACTAAACTGTACTTAAAAATCATAGTATATTTATATATGAGTATTTAACTAAATTAATTTCTACAACTCTTACATATTCTATAAATTTTCCTTTTTAAATGTCTCAACAAGATCTTGGTGTGAATCATTAGAGTCAGAATAGAAAGAATTCAGATTTAAAAGTGCTTCTCAAGTCAATGACCTTCAAGTCCAAGTCGAGTCCCAAGTCTTAGTCCATTTTATCAAGTCAAGTCTCAAGCCCTAAAAATAGTGACTCAAGTCTGACTCGTGTCCAAGTCATGACTTGCAAGTCTCCACCTCTGGTAGCAGCATTAGTAGTAGTTGTCTTAAAAGTAGTAGTAGTAGTAGTAGTAGCAGTAGTAGTTGGGCCCGGTCAAGCAGAAGTAAACAGCAAGGCCAAATTTTCAAGTTAATGCATCTGATATAAAAATGTATTGAACAGATACATATGTACTCTAGTTTATGAAACTGTTTACCTTTTTTCTGTACCATTTTTGGTTCTAAAGTTACATACGTTTTAAACAGACCATGTATGAAACATGGAACAAAAATTATTTCCCAAATTTCAAAGACCTGCAAATCATGTAAATAAATGGATGTATTTCATCATATCTTGTGTTATTCCATCTTTGAACTGTTGATGAAGGTACATGATTTAAAAAAAAAAAAAAAAGTGTATTTAAAATGATAAAAATTTGCTTGGAAGGACTGACATATTTTTTAGAAATAGTTTCCTTTCATTTTGAAGTAATATTAAAGTATTCAGAAGAAAAAAGCTGACAAATTATGTAAAATCCTGCACCTTCTACTTGCTTGAACAATTTTCCCTCCGTTACTTTTCCCTCCGTTACCATGACCTTTCTTAATAAAAAATCTCATGACTCAAAAAGTAAGAGGTTTTTCAACCTAATCTTGTACCATATGGTAGAAAACTATATGAAGCAAATATTCAAACCAGTTTGTTAAGGATATGTAAGTGAGAACCAAGAGTTATCACTGTTTGTATTTATTGCCCAGAAAGTGCTGCATATTTCATTACTGACATGACTTTTTAAATTTTTTGTCAACAACTTGAAAGAATATCACAGGTTTAACTTGACCCTGTTGGAGTGTAACTCTTTCCTACATTCTGATACTTTACTTATTTCAATAGTCCCTCTAGTTTCTGAATAAGTCTGCCCCTGTTTCCCTCCGTTACCACTTGACCAGACCCAGTTGTCTTAATAATATTAGTATTAGCAGCAGTAATAGTAGCGGTAGTTTGTATAAAGATTGCTTGTACGTTTTTAAAATTAAAGATGTGGGCAGGTAAAATTACTCCTGGGCTTCTTGGTCTCTTCACGGAGCAAGATCAGTCGCATTTTATTTTTGAAAATGAAAAAAAAGAAAGTATTAATTGATCAAAAGTGGGAGTGTGACATTGTCCGTAGACTTTGAATCCAACTGCATCCATTTAATTTCAATTAGCCAAAGAAATGAGAATATCAAAAAGAATTCCACATGTGAATTTTCAGCTGTCCTTTTTTCTATCACCATCTCTATTCCTCACACGACACTTATTAATAAACACATTGTCACCTCCGACATCCCATAATAAGAGTTAACAGCAGGTGAGTGTTTGGACATATGGGCCCTGTGTCTCTCTGTGTGTCTGCGGCGTGGTCCTCCTCACGTCTGGGTTTAAAATGAACCTGTTCCGACACAGATACGAGAGCCTGGAGCGCACGTTATTAACATACACAGTCAGACTCCGCCCCCTGCTGCTCCTCGTACCAAACATGCTCCATAACAGAGAGACGAAAGCAGGAGAAGAAAGGGAGAAAGGGATTAGTGTCAGAGATAATGGATTATTAGCCACAGGTGGACAATATCATAGGTCTGTAATATGTATGTGCGATGTAACTAAGCAGGTTCAAACCGACTCCCACAAAATCCACTGTTCAGCATTTTCCAAACAGGGATCAAACTGTGGATCATTCTGTCGCTCATTAAAGAGACAGTTCGGAATTTTGGACATAGGACCTCATTTCCTAGTGAGCCAGAGCATTGGAGATGTGTGGAGACACTTTAAAAAACATGGGCAGGTTTTGTTGTGTATTTGGTTGTTCTAGACGCTCTGAAAGGGATAAAACAAATCGTTTCTTCACTGTTCCTTTGAAAATGACTCATCAGGAGCTCAAACAAGGGAATTATCGAAAAAAAGACGCGGATTATAGTTAGCAAAAATAAACCGCGAAGAGATTTCCTGTGGTACCATCAAGACACCCAAAGTTTCATCAAGGTATTTGCTTTTTAAATTGTTTCATAGCTTATTTAATGAAAGAAGCACATTTACTGAACTAAAATGTCATTAATTTATCCAAGAAAACCCGCACTAGTTTATGATTCAACGAACCCACACTGGGCTCCTCGGCCATGAAAAGATCCTCGCGAACGTTAGAAAGATCCGCTCGCAAAAAGCGATTAATTCTAGAAGACATAGTTGTGGATAAGCAAGACAATAAAGAAAACATGGGTCCTACGACGAGTGACATGTTTATATGTGCGCTGGAAGATACAGTTTCTACTGCCACTCACACTGCAAATGTTTTCTTTTTACATTTTAGTTCAGTAAATGTGCTTCTCTCATTAAATAAACTATGAAACCATTTAAATAGCAAATACCTTGATGAAAGTGACGTGAGTGTGTCTTGATGGTACCACAGGAAATCTCTTCGTGGTTTATGTTCTCTAGTCATAATCCGCGTTTTTTTTTCCGATAATTCCCTTGTTTGAGCTCCTGATGAGTAATTTCCAGAGAAACAGTGAAGAAACGGATCGTTTTATCCCTTTCAGAGCGTCTAGAACAACCAAATACACAACAAAACCTGCCCATGTTTCTCCGATGCTGCTGAAGTCAATGACATAGTGTGCCAGGTGTCATGGCGGTGTAGATAGGTGTTGATAGAATGTTTGAAATAAAACTAACCTTGTATCCCATGAACCGTCGCTTGTTGAGGGACTATTTTCTCATATATCAGTTCGCCGCTGCCGAGCTTTCTATCAGGAAGTACAACTCACTGCTGCTGCTCAGACATAAATCATTCAATTTCAAGGTTGGTTTTACTTCTAAAATGATTCTATCGACACAGACATTTACATGGACAATCTGGCGTTATTATTGTTTTGTTTCGGGTGTTTTGTGGAGTGGGTAAGACTGTTTTTAGCGGCAGGATAACTATGGCCATTGACATGCACTAGCCTAGCACCAGCGACCTCTGCAAATACAAGGACTGGATGGAATATTTAAATAAGTTACACAATGCATCTCTAAATAAACTCTAGACATTGTGACTAAGTGCTATTTATCTTCACATTCTGTACTAATGTAATTACTTGTGTGTTTTGTTGCAGAGGACATCTTTATTCTTCATGGCAAAGACAAGAAGAACCCCCTGATCTACGGCCTCTTCACCACCTCCAGGTCAGTACTCTAAATTAAACAAAATGATTATGTTACATTTTTATATAGAATTATTTTGGTATTTTCATAGAGTTAAAGGTTGTATATTAAACAGCTTTAAACCACTGGGTATCATTAAGAAGCTGCCAATATGATACATATCTCGATACATAAACCACGATACGATACTCGATACAGTGCACTTTCGATTCGATATGATATATTTCAAAACGATTCAATACTGTTCAATAAAAAAATAATGGCTAAATCATTTCTATTACACTGAAAGTCTTTGTTAAACCACTTCTTGTGTGCAAAGTTCATATGATAAACGCTCATTATACTCATCAAAATAGTGAATACATATGAGTGTTGCATAAACAAGTTTCCTTCCTCTGAACAAGCAACAAAACTGTAGCACTGTAACAAAATAATTTAGTTAAATAGTGTATACCACAAAATACTCTTGGTGATATCTTGACATAGCAGTCCAGGATATTGATACTGTATCATCACATTTAACGATACGATATATCGATATTTAGAATTTTTTTCACACCCCTACCTCTTCAAAAACAAACGTGGAGTTGTGTTTTGTTTCAGTCACACATGTTTCAGTAATCCTTTATTATTCGTTTGTCTACGTCTCCAAAGCTCAAAATGCTCTGCTCCACCTTGTGATGTCATGTAGTGGTAGTTTTCAAATGAACAGCTTCCTTTTACCTTTAGTTCAGAAGAAATTGGCAAGGGGTGAAATGACCCAAATGTTTCTAGTGAAAGGTTGAACAGAGTGCTTTCCATCTGAGAGAAAAACTCAGCCTAAATGTGCAGGGTTTTTGTGTTAAACAAGTCTGAATTAAACAAATCCAGGTATGTTTTTGGTTAGGAAACAACATGATAGCAGATCAAAAATAGCGTAATATGGGCTCTTTAAATTACAGTAAATGATTATGTTGAATTTTTATATATAATTTTTTTGGTATTTCCATAGAGTTAAAGGTTGTATATTAGACAGCGGCAAACCATGTTATAATGTCGTTACCTCCTCAAAAACAAACCTGGAGTTGTGTTTCATTTCATTCACACATGTTTCAGTGACCATTTATTACTCGTTTGTCTACGTCTCCAAAACTCAAAATGCTCTGTTCCACTTTGTGATGTCATGAAGTGGTAGTTTTGACGTTAACAGCTACCTTTTACTTTTAGTTCAGTAGAAATTGGCTATTCCAGGACTGAAATGACCCAAATGATTCTAGTGAAAGGGTGTGGAGTTTAAAAACACAGTGCAGCACTTCCCGTATGACCACATGACAGAAGACTTTCTATTTGAGGGAAAAACTCTCACTTAAATATGCAGGTTTGTGTGTTAAATAAGTGTGAATTAAACAAATGCAACTCCAGCAGTGTTGAGAAGGTGACTTTTAAAATATATTCCCCTACAGATTACAGATTACATACACCAAAATATAGTTTGTAAAGGAATCCATTAAGTTATTTAAGGTGAGTCATGTAATCTGAATACTTTGGATTACTTAATTTACTGTGGAGAAGCAAAGACGAGGATATCGTAACATAAGATGTTTTGTCTGCTAAAAGAAAATAAAAAGTCCAGACTTTACTGAACCATATTAAAAATATTATTGATAGAAGAGGAGGAGACACGTCCACGCAGCATGATTTAGTCCTGTTAAATCCCGTTAAATCCTGGTTTAGTCTTGGTTTTGTCCTGGTTTAGTCCAGGTTTAGTCTTGGTTTAGACCTGGTTTAGTCCTGGTTTAGACCTGGTTTAGACCTGGTTTAGATCTAGGTTAGACCTGGTTTAGTTTCCAGCAATGAGTGGAATTACTGGAAAAAAAAGGAAAAAAAAGGAAATAGCCCAAAATGTGAAAACAGGAAAATACCACCATGTAATGCATTTATTTCAACAAAGTAACTGTAATCCAATTACCTCTCATTGAAACACTGAATACAATTACTCATAATTTGTACTCTGATTACATAACTCCAGTACATGTAATCTGTTACTCCCCAACACTGAACTCCAGGTATGTTTTTGATGAGGAAACAATGTTATAACAGATCCGAAAATAGCATAATATGGGCTCTTTAAATTACAGTAAATGATAATTATTTTGGTATTTGCATAGAGTTAAAGGTTGTATATTAGACAGCTTTAAACCATGTTATAATGTTGTTACCTCCTCAAAAACAAACCTGGAGTAGTGTTTTGTTTCATTCCTTTATTACTCGTTTGTCTACGTCTCCAAAGCTCAAAATGCTCTGCTCCACTTTGTGATGTCATGAAGTGGTAGTTTTCACTTTAACAGCTTCCTTTTAGTTTTAGTTCAGCAGAAATTGGCTATTCCAGGGCTGAAATGACTGAAATGATTCTAGTGAAAGGGTGTGGAGTTTAAAAACACAGTGCATCACTTCCTGTATTACCACATGACATCACAAGGTGGAACAGGGTGTTTTCCATTTGAGAGAAAAACTCAGCCTGTGTGAATGAACCAAAACACAACTCCAGGAAACAACATTATAACAGATCAGAAAATAGAGTAACATGTGCTCTTTAAATTACACTAAATTATTATGTGACGATTTTATATAAAGCCGTTTTGGTATTTTCATAGGATTAAATTACACAAAAATACTCCCTCTCTCCCTATATTTCTTAACCTACCATTACAAGATTTGGAAAATACTGTTTCTTTAAATCCACATCTCAAACGTTGCGCTTGCGTCGCTGTCGGACACATAAAAATAAGCTTCCAAATCCTCAAAAAGTGTTTAAAGTTGGCATTAAAGTAGTTCCAGCCGGTGTCAGACTCCATTTACATGAGGTTTGGCTATTAAGCTGAGAAAACAACCAGAGAGACATTGGCACAGAATGAACGAGGAGGGAGTAGCCTTGGTGGTGCTTTTTGACTGTCTTCCAACGCAGGGCTGGTCCAGGCTTTTAACACATTTCTCCTCAGAAATTTAAACTCTGGAGTTCTATTCAGAGCGCTGACTCACTCCTGCCTGCTCATATTTATCTGTTTGAGGTTTGCTTCTGTTTTTACTTCCACCGTTTCGCGTCAACAGATTTAAATTGTTTCGAGAGATCGGCTGAAACGGGGAGATAAGTTTGTTAGTAAGAGCTATTGTTCAAATTCTTGGCTGTGATTTTCAAATAATTGCGATACAAAGTAGAGGTGGGATAGTGCTCAGTTTTATTTATTCTGCAGAAACTTTTCAGGCACGTTTACATCTGATGGAATAATATTTAGTTTGAAGTAACAGTACTCTTTAGGGATGTAACAATAACCGAAATATTGTGATATCGTATCGTGAAAGTTCTCACAATAATATCGTGGACCATCACAATATATCGAATTACAAGTTTCTTTGCTTAAATTAAGAGTTATGCTGCAGTAATAGCTCAAAAAACTACATAGACCATGATCCTTTGCTCCATTTCAGTGCAGACTACATGAAGAAATAACAGTTCAAAACACTTTTAAGTCTTTGGATTACGTCTTGCCAAAGCATTTTAAGAGGAAAACGTAGAATATTAGCCTCCACAAAATATCGCAATAAATATCGTTACGTGAGATGTATATCGTGAAAATATCGTACAGAGAGATTTGGATATTGTTACATATCCTAATCGTGAGCCTCCCCAGTATATCGTGAGCTTTCCCACAATATTGCAATAAATATCGTACTGTGAGGTTCATACGTGACGATATCGTATCATGAGACTTGGATATCGTTAAAATCCTAATATTTGAAGGTTTGAACATTTGTGTTTCTTTCACCTCTCCTTCAGATATGATCTTCTTTTTCTGTATTTTTTTGTTTTGTTTTATAGTGTATTCTTTCAAAATATCAGATTTGGTTTTGTTTATTTGTTTTGGATATTTGTACATTAACTTTAAATTATAAATCAGATATTATGTTACATGAGTAGTAGTTAGTACGTTTTACTCTTGCTTGAGTAAACTTTTAGACCACAACTTTTTGATTAATTTTTAATTGAATATATGTGAATATTTTGAACGAGAGCCCAAAATGGAATCCAGTACCTCCCAAGTAGTGATTAGGGCTGGGTATCATTAAGAAGTTGCTGATATGATACAAACCTGGATACATAGGTTACGATACGATTCGATACGATATATTTCAAATTGATTCAATTGATACAATTCAATAAAAAATAAAGGCTAAATCGTGGCTGTGATACTAAAAGTCTTTGTTAAACCACTTCATGTGCAAAGTTCATATGAAACACGTCCATTTTAATCATCAAAACAGTGAAAGTGCAGCGCTGTAACAAAATAATTTAGTAAAATATACCAAAAAATACTTTTGGAGATGTATCAATACAGCAGTCCCCAATATTGATACTGTATCGTCACATTAAATGATACGATATTTCGATATTTTTGCACATCCCTAGTAGTGATAGTCCCAAGCTTGGATAAACTAAGAACTATGCCCCAGGAAGTAAGATCTCAAACGTAACAGAATATTGTTATTTATAATAGAGATGCACCAGTCCGATCCAATACTGGTATCAGTTGTCAGCGCCGATACATAAAATTTTGCTAGATCGGATATCGGCTTCCAAATATCGGTTGAAACAATATCCAGGTTGGATATACATAAGTTTAAGTTGGCTGAGAAAATCTTTTAATGTTTGAATACTTTTAATGTTCGATACAAAAGTTGACAGATGAGAGATAAATAACAGCACCATAGCACATTTGGATCCGTTTTGTCTTTATTTTATTTTAGTTTCAAGGAAATAAATGCCATTTCAGTCAGATCGGTGCATCCCTATTTTGTAAATCCACACCTGAGACTAGTTCTGTTCTGGCTGTGCAGGAATGAGAAGAATCTATGACCTTAATGCAATTTAAAGTCTCTCATTTTCAAAGTGACCAAACTCCAGTTGTGAGTTGTGACTGACAGTTCTCCAGATGTTGTGTTTACTGTTTTCAATCTGAGCAGGAATGACAAGAAGCTGCTCTGTA